TGGATCTTGAGGATGGGAATTGTAGTCCACAGCTGGAGAACACCAGGTGGGTGAAGGCCAGCTGTGGCTTCCTTGGGACTCAAACAGTTCCTTTTCCAGTCTCACCTGGGGATGCCATAGAGTGTATCTGGGACATCCTGCCACTGGCCTGGAACCTTTCCTCTGTGCAGGATGTCTTCCTGCTGAGCACGACTGTGAGACTGGTGGTCAGCTCATAAGGCATGAAGAGGCTTTGGTCTGTATGCTATTCGTGCTCTCATCTTGAGTAGTTCCATTGAGTCAGTTTAATGGCAAATCAGCACTTATATAAACACTGTTGTGTCAATGGATTTGCCTTCGTTGAGGTCAGAAGTAAGATACTGCCCTTAGAAATGGGAATAGAAATTACACAAGCTATTCCTTTGCTCATCACATTCTCTGCAGACCCAAAAAAACTTCCCTCTTAGTCCATGAATGGTGTAAGACATTGTATACTTCACTTCAGTCATCAGTACAATAAAAGAAACAGCCAAATAAATCAGAAGAAAACTGAGACACAGTAGAGTGGTTATAAAAGAACTAGAAAAGCTTATTATGTGTAAGGATGTACAGCTGGAAACCAAGGCCAAAGATCATCTATAGGTTGGTCATCCTGATTACTAATGAACAGATGGGAAAGCAGGTCAATGAAAAAAACAGAGAGAGGGAAAAGAATAAATACACTTGAAATGTGATATTGGAGGAGACCTTAATGGACTCTAGAAAGAAAACAAGTGAATTCTAGATCAAATCCCATGTGACTCATCATGGGAAGACATGGCTGGGAAAAAGTTGATGGCAGCAGGAAACGAGGAAGCTTGAACATAGATAGGATCATAAAGTTGTAGGGCTGGAAGATACCCCAAAGATCACAGAGCCAGGCCTCCTGTCAAAGCAGGTTTGAGTCTCTAAGAGAAGTCATGGCCTTCAACTGGCAAGGCCGAGCAGGGAGGGTTCTAGTGTGAGGATCTTCCCAGTCACTCTAGATGCAACCAGAAATAGCTGCTGTTGAAGAAGTAAGGGCTGTTGGCAACCTTCTCAATCTCTTTCTTCTCGCTTCTCTTTTCTCTCTTTCTTATCTATCTATCTATCTATCTATCTATCTATCTATCTATCTATCTATCTATCTATCTATCTATCTATCTATCTATCTATCTATCTATCTATCTATCTATCTATCTATCTATCTATCTATCTATACATGCTGTCTTTCTTCTCAAGGAAAACGAAGGTGGCTTACAGACTGCATCTAAAACTTCAGTTTTCATTTCCCCGTTTCCGGTTTCAGCAACAACCGCAGTCCCCTTTTGCCTCATACAGGCTTGCAGGGAGCCTGAGACACAGGGGAAGGAACATAGGCAGCCCCCCCCCCGACCCCTTCTTGCCTCCGGGTAGGAGTCAGTCAAGAGGAAATGACTTCCCAGGAAACTCTTCCCACACGGTGGGAGGAAAGGAAAAGGACCATGTTCTCAAGCTCCAGTGGGATGGCATCCCCCAATGGACGAGCTGAACAGAACTCCGAAGAGAAATTAAGCTAAGCGATTCCTTGGCCCACCCCTTCCTTCTCTGCCAAGGGAAGGCACAGGAGAAGGGGCCAGAGGAGAAAGAGGGGGGCTTTGTTGTTGTTTAGTCATTAAGTTGTGTCCGACTCTTTGTGACCCCATGGGCCAGAGCACGCCAAGCCCTCCTGTCTTCTACTGCCTCCCGGAGCTGGGCCAAATTCATGTTGGTCGCTTCGATGACACTGTCCAGCCATCTCGTCCTCTGTCGTCCCCTTCTCCTCTTGCCTTCACACTTTCCCGACATCAGGGTCTTTTCCGGTTGGGGTGGGGCACCTTTACCTACCTCCTTCTTCACTGGCCACCACTGGCCAGAGGAGAAGGTGCTGAGCTTTTTTGACTCCCCCTGGTCTTCCGAGCCCCTTCTGAGTTCAGGATGCTCAGAGGAGAGGAAGCCCTCCAAAGTCAGAAAGAGGGAGGAGCCCCTCCGCCTCCCTCCCCCAGATACCCCTCTTCCTTAATTAGACGCTTCTTCTAAGCGGGCGGGCAGGATGGGCGTGGCCACCACTGGGATGGGTGGGTGGGGCCCGAGGCCGGGAGAA